TTGTTTAATTAGGAGTTCAATGATGTGAATTGTGAGTTAAATGATTAAATTAGAGTTTAATGATTTGTTTTATTTGGAGTCCAATGTTGTGAATGGTGATGGGGTACAATGCTTGTGAATTAGAGGAGTTCAATGATTTATGTGTTGTGGAGTTCAATAAAAAGTAAACTTAAGGAGTTTAATAAATATGAGGAGTTCAATAATTGAATTGTATTTGTTGATGTTATTTTTGTGTATGATGATATGTTTGTGCATGCTTGACATTGAGTAATTGCATGCCTCAAAATGTCACATAATATATACATTGCATGATCATAAGAAGTGGGAGTTTGCCTAGAAAGAAGAGTAGAGAATTAAATCCATGTGGTAAGGCTCCTATCCAAGTTGTTGGCTTGCCTTGATTGTTTTTATGCACATTATCCCACTTATTTGATGAGGGACTATTCCATTAGTTCAACAAGAGATTTGAACCTAGCTAGCTATCCATTGATTCAACAAGGAAGCTAGTTTTGAGAGCATGACACCTCATAGTGTGAGAAAATGAGAAAAATTGTGATTCACAAGTGAGTTGGGTAAATCTTAGCTGGATAATCCTCTAATAAATATTTAGGCTAGAGAAGTCTTGAATTATAGATTATCCCATTGTGCTATAGCCTACAGTTTCATGTCAAAGGAATAAGGAGGATATAAGAGAGGTGCGATCATGCATATAGTAAGAAATGGCATATAGTTGTCTGTATTATGAACCTAATGATGAATATCATGAATTGAGTCTTAATCCCTTTTGAGTATATGTCATTTGATTATGTGACAAGCTCTCTTTTATATGAAAGTTGTTAAAAAGCATTATTTCACGAGTATTATGCTTGAAAATGTGAATTTATGCTCTTGAATGTTTTATATGATTTGGAAATTGATTATACTTATCACTTGCATTTAAAATTAATTGACATGTATTAGTATAAGTTAGTTGAACCTTAGTTACTGAGTGATTGTACTCACCTCACTATCTTCAATATTGCAGGAATAGCTCAAGAGGATTAGATAGAGGAAAGCAATGAAAGGCTTAGGATTGTGATCTTATTTAGTAGGCCTTTTTATTTTTAAGTCATTATGTGTATATGATAATTGAAATTACCAACTAGGAATAGTCCATTTTGGTTCTTACTTTCATTATATATTTTGTGAGTTGTAAGTATATTTTTGGCCTTAGGTAGTGAGTTATGAAATGTGATATTAGTGATGGGGCCAAAATACTAATGCAAGTAAGAGTTAGGCATATTGTGTGATGATTATGAATTATTTGATGAAAAGTTGCTTGAACTTCCTCTTTTATGTTTTTGAGATTAAGGGGTTGAGTAGTAAAATTGTGAATTATAAGTGTTTAATGTAGTGTGGTGTATTGCATGAGTGAGTTTTAGCATATTACATGCGGTCTAAGTGGTGTCAATGGCTTTTGGCTTTTAGTGAATGAGTTGGACACTTAGTTTTGTAAAAAAGATTAAAAAAGTGCAAGTTTTAAAAAGAGTGTCTTAATTTTTATTGTGTAATAATTTGATTATGAGACTAAAGCCATCAGTTAGAGCTCGGAAAGAGCTTTTTATAGATACCTAGTTCGCATCAATCGGACATCGGACAAAGGAATGGGGCGCATCAGAATTTGCCTCAGGAGCTGTCAAATTGACAGTAGAATTTGCTGTCATAGATCGTAAAATGCATCATGACGATGGTGCCATGAGCCACGGCATATGACCCAAAGGTGAACACACCACAACATATGTTCAACGAGTCACGACACATGCCCTAATTTTTGTTGAATTGTTTTGTTTTCTGCTTCCTTAGAAAATGCACTATTTCTTGAAATGATCCCATGCTTCTACATAATTGTGAACTCTTATTTGTTTCTTTTAAAGATCATTAAGAATGGTTTTAGTTTTGAATACTTAGGATCTCAACTTTTTCACCCATTTGTAACTTGATATTATGTTAATTACTTTAATCCAATCTCTTAATTAATTGAGATTTAGAGTTGATTAGGGTTAAAAGAAGGAGGATATTACAAACAAGGAGTATATGAAAATCGACCTCATCATTTACCTAGTTTAGTGAGGTCACACCATCAGATTCTTTGAAGCTCGAAGCTGAGTGCAAGTAGGTTTGAACATTGGTTCTCTTCCTTCACAAACTCCTACCTACCTCAAACTGAAGATGATCATAAGAATGGGTTCACTTTCTAGCTATAAGATGATCCTACCATAGCTCATTCAGAAGACAATTGCAAGATACTACCTCAGCTGCTCTTCCTGTTATCAAATTTCAAGATGTTACAATCTAGCCAGAGAAGCACCAGAGATATAGTTGTGGTGTGTGGACACTACTCTATCTCATTACTCATTTTGGCATTTGATGTTATTTTTGCAAACCTAAAAGCATAATTATGTAATAGGGCATTTGTGACTCTACTCATTTGATCAAACTTGTATATGGGTGGAATGAGTTAGTTTTTGACATTCATGGTCTTATTTTGTATGCTCAAAGTGTTAAGATTGTATTTAGTGTGATGGATTTAATTTATGGCAAGTTATGTGAAATTTTTCATTATGATTGTGCTGGGTGACTGTAACTCAATTGGTAATTTTGTGCATATGTGATTAAGATGATGATTGATTTAAGTCATATTATGCATATGTGATATAGTCAAGTGGTTCACAAAATAGTTTTTGGCTTTGGTGTTGGTTTGAGAAGTTATAATAATGTTTGGAAAGTTGTTTTTTTGACTCTAAATAAGTATTTGTAGATTAAAATTATATAGAGGAATTTTTATACCAAACAAAAGTCATTAGCTAAATTTTGTAGTAAGTTTTATGTGGACATTTGAATAACTCAAATTGAATAAATGTACTAAAAGTTATACAGATTTAAAGTTATAATTTACTATTTATTATGATATAGTGTTGATAAGAACTGTGTGCGATAGTGCACATCCTTTGAGCCGTGGCTCATTGCCTCCTAGAGGAGTGATTTTTTTTGTGCCATCTACCATGGTATAGGTTGCGTTAGCCGTGGCAGATGATCCAAAAACTATAAATTTGCTCTTGCTTCAAAAATTGTTTTCAAAAAGGTCCTCTTGAACACTTTAACCTTTTTTAAATTTGTTTTTGGACAATTTAACCTCTGAGAACCACACTTTATAAATATTCATAATTCCTAACAATATTTTGGATTTCAAATACTTGTTTTAATGGGATTTTATTTGGTACACATTTAATTAATTTAGTTAGTTTCTAAATTACCTTGATAGGTCTTTATTACTATGTTTAATTCCTTCTATCATGGTAGATCATTTTCTACATGGTAGTTGACTTGAAAATGAATTTATTGTATGAAAATCATTTTCCATCATGGTATACCATTTTAAAATTTGATGTGATTTTTAATTACTATGGTAAGCTGTTTTCTATCATAATAGGGTTTTATAATAATATCTTTTTGTTTTTGTACCATAGTAATCCCTTTTATTATCATGGTAGTGTTTGAAAAATTATTTCTACTCTTTATTACCATAGTAAGTGTTGAAAATTTGAGTTTTGGAATTAATTGCCCTTTTAATGAAGAAAAATTGGTTTGAAAATTGAGGACGTTGTAGTTCTCTTGCAAATACACTTTATTAATTTTATCTTAAAATTTAATAATTTTTCACCTCTACCCTTAATAGGGACAAAATAATTTTTTAATGATTTTTTTCTAACATTTAATAAAAGCAGATAAATAAAGATGAATATAAAAAATAATGAAGTGTTCTATAAATAAAATCAAAATTAATATTCTCTCTTTGCCATATAAATAAGATCAAGAGAGTAAGTTTTTTGGGTGAAAAAACTGAATTGTTCTTTTCTGAAATACACAACAAAATATTTGTAAATAGCATTAAAAGCCCACTTATATTTATAACAAAACATCTATTTATTCACATACTCCATTTGGTCTACATTTGTTGAAGAGGAATACAAGTTATTCAAATTAAATTTACAACAAAAAATTTGTGAATAACAATCAAAGTCAATTTACTTTTGACAAATGGTCCATTTATGTCGCAAAGGGGCAATTCCAACGTCTAACCAAAAAATCAATTGCAAAAAAGGTCTTTGAGTTTGTAGAATTATTTCAGACTCTATTAAGCCTTTAATATAAATATGTTGGTTTTGGGACCGGGTTTGCAACGCAATTCTTTTCAAATTTTTTTTTATTAAAGGCAACGGCATCACTTGACCGATTGTGATTGCCTGATTGGTCGTCATAATATTCTTGGGAATATTTGACAACTCATGTCGATCACTAGGTATGGCCATGAAAACAATTCATAAATTGCCATTGAATCCTTCAAAATTTGAAAATGATGACAACATTCGGATAAACAGCTCTGGCCCACTGATTTTATAATAACAATAATAATTATTATTATTATACATGTCTTGAAGGATATGATCATGAACATGTATATAAAAATCATATTTGAAAATAAGGGATATATACACTTGAAATAAAGAAAATTCAAGTGATGTTCTATTCTTATTTGGAGAATAAATTATATTTTATTGTATCTTAACAAATAATATTTATATACAGACGAGAATATTTGACTTGAAAAATATAAAAGACTTTGAACGAATTTAGGCCACTCAATTCAACAAGTTAGGCAGCTCGAATTCATAACTCATCATCATGAATGAATGAACATCCGGGTCCATTTCTCCACGACCACGAGCACTATGCAAAAAGTCTAAAAACTTTCATTGACACAGTACCATCCGAAAATGGAATTGAATATCCGGGTCCTTTTTTCATATTTTATTGTACATTAAAAAATAAATATTTATATATAGTTGAAAGTCTTCTATATATAAATTAATAAATTCATTAATTAATGAATACCCAAATCTCATCATTAAATGGTGTACTTAATTAATATCATTTCATTCTGTTCCTCCGTATAAGTACTACTTCCTTAGCCTTCTTGTCCTTCCCAGCTCTCTTTTTGCTTCTTCATCAGATCGATGCTTCAACGACGTCGTCCTAATCTCCTCCTTCCCTTCTTTGCCTTGATTTTCTGCGCGTTATGGATCCTCAACGGCGTCGTTTCGGACCCACAGACCTATCTTCTTAAGAGTGAGTGCAACTCATACTTCATTTCCAACGTATTCGTCGGCTACAACGTCTCCGTCTTTGATGAAAACCTAAACGCAACGTTTCGAGACATCAGAAAGCAGATCAATGACCAGAACAAGCACTTCGCCACCGCACGGCAAGACCATGGAGGAAACCCCGTTGCCACGCTTTTTCAATGTAGGAACTACCTCTCCGTCGCAGACTGTGTCGTGTGCTTCGATATGGCCGCCGAGCAAATCCGAAAATGTGCCTCCGGTACCTCCGGTGCCCATGTCATCTACGACGGCTGCTTCCTCAGGTACAACCCGACGACCAAGTTCAAGTTTCACCTTTAATTTTTTTCCCCAATAACGAAAAGCCTATTTTGATAAATATTCCATCCCTATCACATGAGGCAATTTTGGAAGTATTTTACTGCCTCAGATAATTTACAAAAATATAATCTCATTAACAATGTAATTTTATGTAATTTTTAATACTAGTCTTAAGTGAAAAAAATTAAAATGATATTGAAGTATAATGATTAAATATGTATGAGTATTATTAAAAGTTCATAGTTTTGTTTTTTAAAAGTAAGTTTATAAATACTTATTATTGAGCTTTATTAATATGCATGATCTTATATTAAATGTTCTTATAATATGAGATGCGGATTGTGTCTGGGTTTCAATTGGCAAAAATTAATTAACAAAATGTGATAATGTTTGAATAATATTTTATGAAATTGATTTTAATAATTGAAGATGTTTAGATAATTTTTTAAAGTCAATCATAAAGATAAGAAAAAGAAAAAATGCTCAAATACTGATAAATTGATTTTCAAATGAAGGAAAAAAATAGCTTTTTTAAAATAGAGTTTCACCAGCAAATAAAAAAAAAATTGAAGATGTTTAGATAAATTTCTGCAAAACAATGATTTTGGTCAATAAATTGATTCCAAATGGGTGTCCAATCAAGCCGGGCATATAATATTTTAGACGTATAACATTGGAATAGCTAGACACTCGATTGTTTTAAAATCTGATTCATTTTGGAAAGTGATATGTCAATCATGGACAATTATGTATACCCCCATAATCTCTAAAAAAGAATGGTTTTATGTGATTTTAATTTTTTTTTTTTTAAACCAGGATGCCGTTCATAGAGCCAACCTCAAAAAGTTCACAACAGAAAAAAACCCAGTCAAAAAAACATATCAGAACTAAACGATATTGATGTTACTTTTTTATTTTTAATAAACATGGGTTATGGACAAAGCAATTTCGGTTTCTATGCTCATCACCCAATAAGCAATTTGGATTGTCCAAATAAGTCCAGATTTACTTGTTTTATTTTTGTATTTTATTTTATAATTAAAATAAAAATTGTAAATTTTAATACATATACCCTATTATCAATCTGGACGATACATATTAATCAGAATAATTTAATTTACTATTAAATATTTTTATAATTTTTATAAATTAACTATTTAGATGTATTCTATATAGTTGGAGATTATCTTCATATTTATTTTTTAATATTATATTTTTCAGAATAAAAATTATAGAAATTATAAAAATTTTAATATTAAATCCAGATTGAATAGTACATTTGGATATTGAATTTATAAAAAAATTAACATTAAATTAGATCATCTAAATTACATTTATATTGTTCAGATTAATAATAAGATAAATTTATTAAAATTTTACAATTTTTTTAGAATAAATATAAAATAAAAATCTAAAAAGCTCATCAAGTTATGAGGACCGTGGTCATCACTTGATGAGCCCTGAATCCAAACATAAGCAATTTTGCCCTAAGTGAGAAGTATTTTCCAGTTCTATTTTTACTCTTATCGAATTGTTTAATTTTTTTCTATCACTTATATAAAATATTAATATTAATCCATGTTAATTGATATTACACTAATTTTAATTTGCCCTAGCTAATTCCAAAAAGGCATGCAATTGAGAAATTATAGTTCTTATTTATTTTGTCAATAAAAAAAGTTCTTTTTTTTTTTTTACGTACTCTTCCATTTTCATCAGTTTGATTTATTTCAGATCTAATAGTAGGCTGATTTTTAAAATATCCTCCCCAGAAAATATTATGCTTGAAGTAATTGGGTTGGGATATTATATATCTTTATATGACTACTAATCAGATCATAGTATAACTTAAATTCTGTGTGAGTGAGACACTATTGGCAATATACAAAGCCTAATCTAAATGCACAATAGTTACTACTCACCAAAAAAATATATTTTGATATGAATAAAATATACCATGTCAGTTATTAGTCTACTGCAATACTCCTTATTTAAAAAAAAAATTAGACATTTTTAGTTTTTTAATGTAAAATTAATAAGTTTTTTTAAAATATCTTTAATAAATAAACCACTCAATCCTTTACAGTAAAAAATGGTATCAATAATTTAAAGACAATTAATTAATTTATTAGAGATATAATTAGGTTAAAAGTACCTTATATTTTTTAATGGCGTGAGTATTTCATTATGGTTAATTTACATATAATAGAAATCAATCAATCAACTGATTTTCTAAATTGATAGCAGCAAAGGTGAAAGATTCATCTTACTAGCTTGATTCGTGTGTGGGTGTATTGAACTTGAAAAAATGATTGGGGATATTTGTGGTACTGTGTTTAGGTTCGACATCAGCAGCAGTTTCTTTGACGAAACGACGCAAGCTTTCAACAGCACATCGTGTGGGAATCAGACTTCTGAAGAACCAGCCACCGTATTCACCTTAACTGTGGAACAAGTGCTAATGAATCTACAGAAAGCAACACCAAGGATCACTGCCTTCTCGCAGCCACAAAGACGCAAGTGTCTGATAATGGTGCAACCATTTATGCATTTGCTCAATGTATTCAAACTATCACACAGAGTAAGTGCGAGGATTGCTTGAATACTCAGTACAACAATATGCAGACTTGTCTTCCCAATTCAGATGGTAGGGCTTATGCTAATGGCTGTTTTTTGAGATATTCCACCACTTCCTTCTTTCTGATAACCGTACCATCGATATCACACCCTTCTTCAAACAAGGTAACCCCCACTACTGTAATTTTTTTTAATATATATATATATATATATAAGGATTTTACAACGGTGTAAAATTTTTTTCACGTAGTAACTTTGTCAAATAGTACTTCTCAAGTTGTTTACCTATATGAAAACAGAAAGAATCTTGATTAGACAATAATATAGTCCTTTTTTTAATGGAATGGAATTTAGGTGCAACTTTTTAAATGTTATTATTCTTTTTTACTAATCAACAATACATGATTTTTGCTTGAATATATATAAATATATATATCTATATATATAAAATATCACATGGTTAATTTAATACTCCCTCCATTTAATATAATTTAATACTTTTACTATTTCCATGTTTACCTTTTGTTTAGTAATTAATAGGATGTTTCAATTAAAAAAATCGTAATTACCCCCTAAGGTATTTTTGAAAAAAAATTATTAATTTCACCTTAAAAAACCTAAAATATTTTATATTTTTTACTAAGATATTTTGAAAAATTTTTTTTAATATTAAAAAAGGCAATAAAAAATGATTATGTTGCATTTTATAAGTGTACACAAAAAAATTTTCCGAGCAATTATGAAAATGGATCTATATTTATCCTTTGAAGTATTTGCTTTATAGGATCAATGACCTTACTATATTAGTATCCGACATTGAAATGTGTACTACATGACAACTTTTAAAATCATTGTGTACATTTGTACGTATAACTTGACATGTATATACATATACCTGTCTGAATATGAAAAATGTGCTTTTATTTTCTTGTTTTACAGGTCGTTCAAACAATAAGGGTCCATTATTGGTGGAGTTGCTGGAGGTGTATCTCTTGCTTTGATCCTCATTGCATTGTTATTTGCCTTGATTATTAGACGACGAAAAAACCAAAGAGGGTTCCTAGAGGTAAACAAGTTGAATAGTCTTCGACTACCATTTAATTTAATTACGAAAAGAGACTTTGATTAATGTTTTCCATACCAGGAGACATACTTGGGGCAAGCAATCTGAATGGTCCAATTACATACAGTTACAAGGATTTGAAGACAGCAACCAATAATTTTAGTGAAGAAAATAAAATAGGAGAAGGTGGATTTGGTGTTGTATACAAGGTGCGTGTACATACATATACATACATACATACATATATATATATATATATATATAACTATTTTTTGAGCTATGTCTCAAAGTGAGGTTTATATAGCCTTTTGAAACTTTAGATTTTTCTTATACAGGAGAAATGCATAAATTGAATAAGTAATAACACTTTCATACTTGAATAATCATTTCTAGGGCACTTTGTGGAATGGTAAAGTAGTTGCCATCAAGAAATTAGCTTTACATCACTCCAACAAGATAGATGAAGAATTTGAGAGTGAAGTGAAGCTAATAAGCCTGTTCACCACCGGAATCTTGTTCGACTTTTGGGATGTTGCAGTAAAGGCCATGACAGAATCCTTGTTTATGAGTACATGAAAAACAATAGTCTTGACAAATACTTATTTGGTATCTTATTTCATCCACAAAAATTAATTCTTTAAGATTAACTGTTTGCTTCGTATAATATCATTATGAGGTGTGAAATATTATCAACTTTACAACGCTTCATTGACTCATAAAAGAACACTTTAAATCGCATGACATAGTTTTATAATTAGAGATCTTGTCTGCGAGTGAGCACCAAGATCCATTGTCTATATGTACGTAATTTGAAAATCGTTTCGATGTCTACTCTTTTGTTTTTCTTACCTTTCAAATTTTGTGAACTTAAGTAGGTCAAAAGAAATGTCTCTCAATTGGAAGCAACGATATGAAGTCATTTTAGGAATAGCAAGGGTTTGACTTATCTTACATGAAGAATTTCATGTTCGTATTATACATAGAGATATAAAGAGTAACAATATCCTATTAGATGATGATCTTCAATCTAGAATTGCCGATTTTGGATTAGCAAGACTATACTGAGGACAAAACTCATCTTAGCACACAAAAGTTGCAGGAACATTGTAAGTTTAAATAGTTACTTTTGTTTTTATTTAGCTTATTTTTAATTCTGTTAACTATTATTATGATACCTGGATTGCCCCAAGGTATTGATAAAATCTATATACAAGTTAGCAAAACGATTCTATAACATGCTTTATAGTGCATATATCTATTTAGATTTGTAGGATATGAACGTTTATGAGTTTTAGTCTGAGATTGTTATGCTTACATATTCATATATTTTTATTTAGAGGATACACAGCACCGGAGTATGCAATTTATGGCCAATTATCAGAAAAAGTCGATATCTATAGCTATGGTGTTGTAGTCTTAGAAAT